TAAAATATTTTTTATTTTTTTAAAATTATTTATTTTATTTTATTTATTTATTCTTTTTTTTTTTAATTTGACCAGAGAGAGACAGAGGTTGAGAGTGAGAGAGAGAGGAAGTGAGAAAGTAAGCCACCAGATTCAGGAGTTGAACCCTGGTCGGCCATGTGGGAGTGTCCAGCGCCTTAACCATCAAGTCTTTTTTTAATAAAAAAAGGATGGGGGCCAGCAGGTGGCTTGGTGGCTAGGGGCGCTGGACACTCACACAGCCAACTCGACCATAGTTCAAGTCTCAGACCTGGCGACTTGCCTTCACACTTTCCTTCCCTGTTCTTCTCTCACTCTGGCCCTCTCTGGTCAAATTAAAATAAATAAAGTTAAATAAAATAATTCTTTTAAAAAACTGACAGCAGGGGCAGGCAAGTGGCATGGTGGTTAAGGTGCTGGAGTCCCACATGGCTGACTGCAGTTTGAGCCCTGGACCCGGTAGCTTGAAAATCACACTGGATTCATGTGTGTACTTGCCCAAAATTCCAAGGAGAGAATGCAGAAGGGACTGTGGCATGGCCATCTCCTTTTTGGGGTGATTTCTCACTTTCCCCCTCTCTATCTGTTTCTCTCTTATGGCAAAAACCTAAAAAAAAAAAAAAGTGGAACTAGTTGGTGGTGGTGATTAAAGTCACTGGATCTCACATAGCCAATTGCATGGTTTGAGTCCTGGAAGTGGTGGCTAAATTAAAAAAAAAAAGAGAGAGAGAGAAGAAAGAAAAAAGGAAAGAAAAAGAAAAAGAAAAACCATGCCTGGCTCACGTGCACATATGCTCAAAATCTGAAAAGGACAGTAGAGGAAAAGGGATTGGGATGTGACCGTCGGCCCCGGGAGCGTGTCCTCACTTTCCCTGTCTGTCTCTGATGAGTACGTGGGCCGCTGGCGATTCAGAAAGAAGGAAAGGGAGGGAGGAAGGCAGGCCAGCCAGAAGGCCCGGGCCAGCCCCGTGCTCGAGTCCACATTTATAAGCTCTTGGTGAGCCCCAAGGCCTGACGTTTGCAGCTCTGGTCCTGAGGCCTGTTGGTTTCAGGTCCAGGTTCTGTGGCATTTATGAGAAGCACCTCATGCAGGCACCTGGGCCGCGCTCCTGGGCCAGGCGACTTGTTCAGTCCCCTTCATGGTCGCTTGGCTTCGGGTGGGTCTGTGTTTGGGGGCCCTGGGGCAAGGTGGGCCCGGTCCCAGAGGCTTTGCTGTAAGGCGTTTCTGCGGACGGCACCCTTGCAGGTCCTGGGCCTACTGTGGAAACATCTCAAAACGCCCGTGTTCACGATTGCTCGTTCTCGGCTCGGATGATGTTGAAACCTGTAGTTCTCGTGCGTTGCTGCCTTTTCTTTGAAGGGGACGGTTTTAAGTGAGTTTGTTTGAGAGAGAAGAGCTAGGCAGCGGCCACTGGGTGTTTAGAAACAGCAGAGGTCTCCAGCTCGGAAGCACCGAGCCCGGGATCCCGCCCCAGGTCGCCGCAGAGCACTGTGAAGCTTTGTTCCGAGTCTCGGTTCTTGTTTTCTTTTTCCCAAGTTTCTTTCTTCATGAGTGAGAGAGAAAGAGAGCGCTCCCGCGTCCTCCGCCGCGACCCACGCCTCGCCCTGGCCTGGCTCCTGGGCACACACACGCCGGCCTGTTGGAGGGACCCCAGACGGGAGCGGACAGCCGCCGTGTGCCGCTGCCCAGCCCGCAGCAGCGTGTCCCAGGCTCTCCGAAACTGCGGAGGGTCTGCCTCGCCCTACGGCACGATGCTCCTCCAGCTGCGCCAGGGTGCCAGTCTCTGACGCCCCGGCCGCCCGCGGAGCAGATGTCGGGAAAGCCAGTCTCTTCTCACTCTTAAAGTGACTTCTAAGTAGATTTTCTCACCATTTCTCCTCACTGCCACCAGTTGTCTCGCTCATGCCACCTGAAGACCACTGGTCCAGTTCACGGGCGAGGACCACGCCCATGAGTGTGCCTGCTCTTCAGCCTTCTCTCCTCTTAGTTTGCCGTAGGCTACCTGTGCTTACTGGAGAGACACGGGGCGGGTGAGTGTGTGAAATCACCTCCAGGGGTATGGCCATACTGAGATCCCTTCTTCTCCACTCTCCCCTCCGGATTGTGGGCGCGCGCACACACACACACCCCCCAGTGTGTTTTTTGAGCCACAAGTCTGGGACTCGAGCTGCGAAGTCAGCCATGTAGTCAGCTGTCTTACCCTCCGTGCCACCTGCTGGCCCCAGCCTGCTTTTTCTAATGGCCCGAAGGTACATGTGACGGGGGCTCCCTAGAGCGTGGCTGCAGCACAGCCCCTTCTCTCCATGTCTCCACCCGGTTGGGATTTGGGGCGCGCATGCGCATGGGGCCAGCCCGTCTCAGCCTACTTAGTGCTTGCTGTATCGGGCAGGCTTTCCTCTGCAGGGCCCACCCGGGTCTCTGCTGTGTGTGCACCTCCCCACACAGACCACGTGCCGGGCGGGAAAGGACTGAGCGAACCGCACCCCTTGGGAGCGTGGCTGTGTTGGGCTGTACCCGAGCCCCCTCCTGGGTGTGGCATCCAGGCCTTAACCACCTCGGCCTGGACCTGATTCCCTTCCTGCCCCATCCTCTGCTGTCACTCCCTGCCCTCGTGTCCACATTCCGGACTCAGAATGACTTGCTGTTCCCCCTCACGCCGGCCGGCCTCTCCATGAGCCTGTGCGCCCTCTCACACCAGCTAACAAGTGACTTGAGACTAGTCTCGCACCGTCACCTCCTCCGGCAGCCTTCCAGAGCCACCTCCTCACAGCACACGTAATGCTGCCCCCGCCCTCCCCGGGGCTTGCACTGCTTCCGGTTCAGCGGCAGCAGGTACGACCCTGCGCACTGGCATATGGTGGGCTCCTTGGGTTGAGAACGTCACCCCACTTCCAGACCCTCGGCCCCGGCCCATGTGGCCCCATGCTGCGTGGGCAGCTATTTACCGAGTTAGAATTAATGCTTTCTGCCCTGCGTATCCCAAAGGACACTCTCCACAGCAAACTTGGTCCTCAGGACCTTCTCCTCAGTGTGCCCATGCCTAGGCAGACCCGCGTCAGTCCTGAAATGCTTTTCTAGCTGGGCGCCCCAGCCCCGAGGGTAAGCGCCGGTGTGACCGGGGCACCGCGGGGTGTCTGGGTACAGGCCCACAGTCGGTTAGCAGAGTGGGCCTTCTGCACGGTGCATGCTCGGGGAAGTCACGGGGGGGCTCTCTCCACGCATGCCTTCCTCCACACCTGTGTCCCGAGGACACGGCAAGAACACACAACGTCAGGGGCCTCGTGCTTTGCCCCAGGGCCCTGCCTGCTTCCACTCACAGGCTGGGTGACCTCTCCAGGAGCACTCACGCTTCTGCCCGCACGCACAGAAATCAGAACTTCTGAAAGGGAACAGAAATCATAGCAAAACGAGGCCCCGGCTGTGGGGGGAGGCCACGCAAAGATGCGGCAGGGTCTGGGCGCTCTAGCTCTCTGCTGAGCAGGACACCGGGGGCCCGCGGCACGTGAGCCCGCGTGACTGCTGGCTCCGACGCGGGAGGGTTACTGGCAAGGCCCACGCTGTGCCGTCCGGGGTGCCCACTCTGCTCCAGCTCAGTTTCTTGCCTAAAAGACAAACATTGCCCTACTTGACGGGTTGTGTGATGTGCACTTGAACGGGAAAGGAGCCTTGTGGAGGGGGGAAAGGTTTGCCTTCCCACCCTGGCTGCGTCCGGGGCAGTGCAGTGAGCCCTCTTCAGAGGCAGTTCTCGGACGCACTCTTGTCACAGAGGTGGTGACGCTGGAAGTGGCCACAGTCCCGGTGTTCCTTAGAGTGGCCGCCGGGCCGCCGCCCGGGCCTGTTTTGGAGGGCGGCCATCACCACGTCTGGGGACTTTCTGTGCAGCCATGTCGAGTGTTTTAGGGAACTGTAACTTCCCTCTCATGTCCGTTTGCTTTTGTAACTGCAGGCTTTCCAGATTTTGTAATCCCAGGGTCTTTCCTGCAGATCCCTGTGGCTCAGCTCTGCCATCCCGTCAGCCTTCGGGAAGGCCTGGAGTGCGGGAAGCAGCAAGCCGGGCGCTGTGGGTACAGGGACGATGAGACGCCCAGGAAGGCGGGGGCTGGTCTCTAATGTGTGCTAGGAGGGACGTACACAGCTATTTACAACGGCGTCGGCCGTTTCTGGGGTGAACAAAGCAGCCATGTCATGGCTGAGCTCAGGCTCCGAGGGTAAGGCAGGCTGAGGCTCAAGTCCCGCCCTGCAGTTTTCTGCTGGGTGATCTCGGGAGGACGCTTCCTCCGGCTTTCTTGTCCATAAAGGATGATACCAGAAGACAGAGCTGGGTCAGGAGGACGTGGAGGTGTATGCTTATAAGAATCAAGCCATAGGATATAAAAATGTCTTCCATTTTAGTACGCCAAGCAAAAAATGAGAGCCGCCCAAATGTCTGCTTTCTAAACCATATTTGTTCTCAGATGCGCTGTTGTAAGTAACACTCTCGGCATCTATTTTGCCCTTGTATTTTCTAGCCTGGTAAGAGGTATTTTATGATTATTTTTCAAGTTACACTCAAGTGCCCTCCATCTGCCCAAAGGTGTTGGAGAGTCATGCCCAGGCACCCCGGGGCCCTCCTGATGTCCCACGAGGCCTCAGTGCTCCTGAACATCCGGCCCGCCCCGCTCCACCTCTACTGGAGAGGCTTGCAGGCCCCGCCCCGGGGCTCTCTGTGCTGCGCCGCGTTCTCCCTTCGCCTGTAGCCCGGAGGGAGCTGTGCAGGGAGCCTCGCCAGGATTCAGGTCAGTTGGATGCTGCTTCTCAGGCCTACATGGGAAGGCAGCTGGGGCTGGGTTAAGAATGAGGGTGCTCCCTGTCTTGGCCAGATTTCCCAGAAAAGGGAAGGCATCTCTTCTGACCACAGTTCTTTGAACTGAGCTTTGCATCCCCTTCTCCTGGTAGGAGGAGAAAGTTCATCTCGGCCAGACCAACCGCCCGTCGGGGCTAGCTTTCTCAGGTACAGCCAGCCATGACCAGAGGTGTTGCCGCCCGCGCCCCCAGGCCCTCTGCCTAGACCACGCCTAGAGCCCTTCCATAGGCCATGGGCCTTTGGGGACATCATGCATCACTCCCCTCCTCTAGTCCTCTGCAGCTGCTTTGAACAGTTTCTCTACCTGACTAATTTTTTTTTGAGGTTTTTCTTGCCTTAGGGTGTGTGCTCTGCCCAGAGAGACACAGTGAGAGGGAAAGTGAGAAACCTTCCCACAGAGGGCTGGCCACACCACCGTCCCTTCTCCTCTGTCCTCCCGCGACCTTGGGCACACACACAGCGTGGTTTTGATGCCACCAGGTCCACAGTCGGCCATGTGGGAGTCCAGCGAAGAAGCCTGTGCCACCTGCCAGTCCCGCCTTACTGACCGTTAGCAGCTGTGCACGTGTCGGGTCCCCCGCTAGTGTGTCATACTACTTTAATTTCGTCACGTTTAACCGTGAGGTCATTCAAAAGCACATTTTAAATTAATTGGTAAATGATTTCTTACAGTGTTCTACAAATACTGACGACTCTTCGCGACAGAAATGTTGACTATTAGCTACAAGCCCTTATTTAGAAAAAAGCAGGGGTTTAAATAAGGAGCCTAAATGAAAGTATTTCTCAACTGACCAAAGCCAAAAGGAAAACAAGTCATTTTAAAAAACACCATCCCTTCCCCCAGCACGATGCCTGCAGAGGGCCACGGCCACGCGCTGACTCACAGAATGAGTAAAGGGCTCACTGCGCATTGTCTCTGCAGCTCTCAGACTGCCCTGAGGCGCAGGCCCCTTCTCCCCGCCTACACACACACGCGCACACACACACACACGCACACACACGCGCACACACGGCCTGCCTGGTGGTGTGCTCTGCCCCAGCCATCGGACTCGGCAGGGGATGAGGGCCGGCACGACCCCGG